CTTGCTGTCGGTTTTACATATGCGCCCCACCACCGTGTCCACCAAGTTCTGCACCTGTCACTCACTCACCCAGATGTCCAGCTGTATCGACGGAATCGGATGCTGAAGGGTAGAGCGAGGCAGATTCGCAGTCTTCTTACTGGTCGCCAGCCTCCTCCTCCTCCTCCTCCTCCTCCTCCTCCTCCTCCTCCTCCTCCTTCTCCGCCTCCTCCTCCTCGTCCTCCTCCTCTTCTTCCTCCTCCTCCTCCTCCTCATCTTCCTCCTCCTCCTCATCCTCTGCATCCTCACCCTCATCCCTATCATTCTTCTCCTCATCATTTCCCACCGTTCCCCTCCAACTCCTCCCCTGCTCCACCTCCGCCTCCTCCTCAACCTCCGAATCCCCATCCTTCTCCTCTGCCTCCGCCTCCTCCTCCGCCTCTTCCTCCGCCTCCGCATCCTCCTCCGCCTCCTCCTCATCATCACCATCACCATCATAACCATCACCATCACCACCATCACCATCACAACCCGCCACCACCATCACCTTCACCATACATGACTGACCTCCTCCTCCTCCTCCTCCCCTCCTCCTCCTCCTTTCCTCCTCCTTCTCCTCCTCCTCCATGTCCTCCTCCTGTCCTCCTCCTCCTCCTCCTCCTCCTCCTCCTCCTCCTCCCTCCTCCTCCTCCTCCTCTCCTCCTCCTCCCCTCCTCCTCCTCCTCCTCCTCCTCCTCCTCCTCCTCCTCCTCCTCCTCCTCCTCCTCCTCCTCCTCCTCCCCCTCCTCCTCCGCCTCCGCTTGTGCCTGCGCCAGGCTTGACTCCGCTGCACACCCCCCCAGGGGGCGCAGCAAGCTGGCGACCGCTGCACGCCTGGTCTGCAGCACCCAGGCAGGGCGAATCCCCGCCCGAGCCCGCGCAAGACGCCACTCCGCCGGAGCCCCACGGACGCGGAGCTGCAAGCCCAGCCGCACCCGTCGAGGGCGGAGGCCCAGCTTACGGTCAGGAACGCCTTTGCTCAGCGTGTCGCGGCGGCGGCCCTGGCGACACGCTACGCCTTGCAAGCGGGCTGCGAATCGTTCCGCCTCCGCGGGGCGGGCGGCTCGGAGAGGCGCGGGAGACGCTGCCGCTCGGGGGACTAGGACGAGGATACGGCGCATCGCGCTGAGGCGTGGTGGGCCAGAACCGGCGGAGCGGCATGCTGGGCCAAAGTTCCCGACCGTAGGCCTGCGCAGCCTCGCAACCTGCTGGACTTCAGGGGCGCGGCAGACATCTCGCACGCTTGGCAGCAGCCTGTAAAGGCGAGGTCCGGTGGGTCTGCCTGGGGAGTTACTCCGCTGGACAGCCCCCCGCCACACCAGAGGCTTAGCAACTTGGCGATAGCTGCACGCCTGGCAGCACGCAGCACAGGCAAGATTCATATCCAGATCCGTGGCTCTCTGGGAAGGGATACCAAAAACCCGAGACGCCGAGACGCCGCCAGAGGCCAGATTATATGCACAGCCACTGCGTCTCAAACGTCTGGGAAAGGAATACGAAAATCCGGGACGCCGTGGGTATAGATATAAACCGTGCCGGCACCCAGGGAGGGCGAATTTCCCCCGTGGGCCTGCGCAGAACGTCACTCCGCTCTGGACTCCCCAGGCAGCTCGGCAGCACTCCGGGGAGAGAGACCGCGAGAGAGGAGGGGACGTGGCGCGAGGAACGAGAGAGGCGCGGGGAGGGACGAGAGGAGATGCAACGCCTGCCCTCCAGGAGGGCGATCCGGGCACCGAACAGCGAGGCAAGCCACGAGCGACCCACAGAGCAGCACGGGCAGAGCACCATGGAAGGGAGGAGGTTGAGCGCGTTGGCGGCGAGCCCGAGCGTCAGCCCCCCCACACAGCGAGCCGAGAACTGCGGAGCGCCTCTGCGAGCACACGCATGCGGGCCCTGCCCTCGCAGAGGCCTGCCAGGGGTCTGCCCGGGGCGGCCTCCCGGGGCCCACGCGGGAAAGGGACCGCGCAGGGGGGGAGGGCCCTGCGGGAGGCGCAGGAGGAGGCTGAAGGGGCCCAGGGACGCACCAATAGAGAGGCACAAATCCCAGGATAGGGTTTACATGTCTTCTGCATGCTCGCCTTCCCCTCCACGCCCCGCATGCTCCAGCCTTCCCTGGGAAACCGACGGCGCTGTGCGCGCTTGCCTCCTGAGAGCAGGAGAAGCCGCGCGGCCCCTCGTCGGTCGTCGGTCCCCCGAAGCCGCCCAGCTCCGCGGCCCTCGCCGCGCGGAAGCGCGGACCGCCCGCCCAGGCCCCCCCCACCCCGCCCCCCCCCCCTCACCCGCCGGGAGCACAGGCCCACGGCTCCAGGTCCAGGCCGAGAGGCGTGCGAATCTCCAGGCCGAGAGGCGTCCGACATCCGACATCAGGCTTTGAGAGATTCGGATGTCGCCGAGAGGCGAGCCGACATCCGAATCTCTCAAGGCTGGCTTCGCGTCGCAGCGCGTCGCCGGCGGCACGGGGGCTGCCTGAATCTTCGGCTCGTCCGGGGGGGAGCGCAAGGGGGCGGGCCTGCTCAGAAGACTCGGAGGGCCCCTGGCCTGCTAAGAAATGTTGTGAGCCTTCCCCGGAGACGCGGAAAACTTCTCGGAAGGCATTCTGAGAAGGCACTCTCCTTCTCACTTCCCCCTCTCGCTCGCCGCCGACTGAAGTATCATGAATCGTTTTGGACGGCTTCAGGGCACGGCGAGAGCCAGAGGCCGAAAAGAAACAGTTTTTCTTGAGGCTCCGACAGCTTTACTTGGGTGGCGCCGTCCAAACCCTGCCCCCACCAACCATCGAATCCTCTGAATCGATGGGACGCGGGAGTACGGTTCAGATTTCGCCACGTCTTCGGCGCAAACCGAAGCCTACCCCCGCCGTCCGTCGAGTTGCCTGAATATTTGGTCGGCAAGGGGAGGGTTCGGATGTCGCCACGCCTTCGGCGAACTGCGAAGCCTACCCCCGCCGCCCGTCGAGTTGCCTGAAAATTGTTGGTCGGCAAGGGCAGGGCTCGGACTTCGCCACGTCCTCGGCGAACTGCGAAGCCCACCCCCGCCGCCCGTCGAGCTGCCCGAAGCGTTGCTCGGCGAGGGCAGGCTTTGGACGTTTCGCCGCCGCTGCGGGGCGCGACCGCCCCCGCCGCCCGCGCGGGCGGCGGGCCCCCACCCCCCCGCCCCAGCTGCGGGCACCATGGAGCGCTTGAGCTTGCCGCTGCGGCGCTCGCCCGGGCTCTCGGCCCAGCTCTCCACCTCGCGCGCAGGGCGGGCGGTATGCCCGCGGCGCACGAGGAGGCCAGGAGGAGAGAAAGGTATGTATAGACTATGCTTAGGTCGGGCGTATCCCCCTACAAAGGGATTTTGGACGAGAAAATAAAAACAACTAAAGAAAAAATGCTGGAAAATTGCCCCAACAATGGCACTCAGACTATTCTTACTATTTTTGAATGTTCCTCCTGTAGAGGGACAGGCCCAGCTTAACACCATGCACACGCGCGCGGGCCGAAGGTCTCGACGTCGGCGCTGCTCGCCAAGGTGCGCGCAGGGATCTCGAGAGTTTGGGGGGGACCCTCTGGGGTCCTGGGCCTGGCCGACGGCGCGTCCCCCCCCCCAAAAAAAAGACCACGACATCTCCAACTCGATCGTACAGCACGGATGTACTGATCCAACTTGATCCAGCACCGAGCCCGGCCGGGACCGCCCTGGGCCCAAGATCGGTGCACACGCCCTCCCGGCTCGGGCCAGGGAGGCGAAGTGCGCCGACCCTGGGCCCAAGAGGGGCGCCTGGCCAGCAGGATCGGCGAACGTGCATCTAAGCAGCCAGCGTGCCTCTGAGCACGGAGCGGGCGTGTCGTCAGGTCCTTCGCCGAATCCCCGAAGCCTCAGTCCGCAGTCCTGAGGAGTCATGCAGGGGCCCCGGCCCAAAATTCTCAAATCTACTGGGGCTTCCCGCATAGTCTCGCATAACTTTTGGGGCCTGAGAGGGCCCGAAGACGGCCGAAGAGGGCCCCACGAGGCCCCAACAGACGGTCCAAGAGGGTCCCGAATCGCCGAAAAATCGTTCCAACATGCCCAAGATGGCCCAAAAGGCCTCCAAGACGCCCCAAGAGGTTTCCAAAAGGCCTCCCAGAAAGGCCCCGAGAGGCAAAAATCAGTGATGTTCCGGCAGGTTGTTTTAATGATGTTAGCGTTCTCGCCTTTTCGGCTTTCCGGCGCTTGAAGACAGCCCAAGAGGCCCCCAAGACAGCCCCAAAATGGCCAAAATGGCGTCCAAAAGGGCCCCAAGAAGGCCGAACAGCACACCCTGTCGGCCCAAGAGGCGCCCCAAACAGCCCAAGAGGGCCCCAAGATGGCCCGAACAGGGGCCCAAAAGGGAACACGAACCAAAAATCCGAGCCTTCCGCCCCAATAGACCCCCAGGAGGCCCCAAGAGGCGCCCAAGAGGCCCCAAGAGGCCCCCAAGAAGCCCCCAAGGCCCTCTAAGAGGCCCAAGAGAGGCCCCAGGAGGCCATAAAACGGAGGCTCCCAAACTGCCTCCAAGAGGCCCCCTCCCTGCGAGATCCCAGCGAACGTCCAATAGGCTTCATACCCACAACCCAGGCACGGTGGCGGGGGAACCGAGGGGCATTAAATACGTTCCTCGTCGCCCGAGGAGCGTGTGGGGGCGGCAGGGATGGGGCCGAGAAATCCAGGCGCTCACGCCGTGGAGCAAAAGTTGCGGCGCCGCCGGCCTGAATGCCTCCGCATGCTCCCACAACTGACCCCAGAACTCGGGAGAGAAAAAGCGCCCATCTTCCGAGAGAAGGGAGCACCAGCGCGAAGCCAGAGGGCGCTGAGAGCAGAGTGGGTGTCCGCCAACCACCTGAGAAAGAATGGCAAAGGAAAACCGTGCGATCCTAGGGATGCGGAAGCGCCTTCAGCAGACTGGAAACTCGCCGCCGCCGCGGAACCCCGCATCCGCAAGGACGCGTCGGCAGAAGAGTGCGCGTGCGGCAGCTTGGAGGACT